CCGGGCTAAATGTAGAAAACAACTACCCGCCCGGCATTGGAACTGCATGTCCCGGGCATCAGGAGATAGGAATTCCACACCCCTGCTGCCCCTCTACTCCCTGCTGCCCCTCTACTCCCTGCTTCCCCGAGGCCGGGCCTTGGTTGGCCTTGTGGGAAATCCAGCCCTGCCCATATTGTCTAGTTGGGGACTCTCCTCATCTTCATCTGGCTGGCCCGCAGGGTCTGTGGGAAGTCCACCCAGGGGAACCAGGAAAAAGCATGCTGGAGCCGTCTGTTTGCAATGTAGCGGGCATTAAGTCCAGCGCCGCCGCAGCCCTGCGAGTTGTACCAGAACCCGCCGCCCCAGTAGTCCGCGCAGTTCTGGACGTGCTCATCTTGGTCATTGTCATAGGTAGAGAACATGTGACCGACGTGGGCAGTCAAGGCATCACCTGGGCAAAGGAGAGACACTGTCAGTTTATTTCCATTATTTCAAGGGTCACCATGAAGTCAAACACAATGTGGAGCGGGGGAAGGGTTAGATCTTCTGACAAGTTTTTAATGTTTCAAGGTTTGCTGACAGAACATCGACGTATGACTGACAGTCCAGATAAAGCTTATTTGTCACAGTGCTTGTGCAAAAACAGCCCACTCATTTTGGTGTTCCGAGGAGCACTTCATCAGGGCTTCATCTCTATCAAAGTGTCACCTTTCCATCTGTAATGTATACAAGCAAGTAAGCGCTGCACTAAAGAGCTCTAAAAAAACTCATTTAAAATACAATTTTTTCACCACAACTTAGCAGTGGTCACATGACTGTTTCCTAGTTTCTCTAATCTGCAGTGCTCGGTGTGGTGGGAGGTACGAGGTTTCAGCGCATCACCTGCATTTGCGATGTTGCTGTTGGCCCACATTACCTCAAAGTGATGCTGAATGCTCTGCTATAGAATGACGGAGAGGCTTCCTGGAGGATCTGCTGCCAATCACACTGCTGGAGTCACCCAACAAGGCTGCTGGAGAGGCCCTGCAAAGCTGCTCGAGACAGCTCCTAAGACTCCTGAAGATGTCGCGAAGGCTGCTGGAGATGCACCGCAGGGCTGCTGGAGTCACCCTGCAAGGCTGTTGGAGAGGCCCTGCAAGGCTTCTGGAGAGGCCCTACAAAGCTTCTGGAGAGGCCCTACAAGGCTCCTGGAGAGGCCCTACAAGGCTGCTGGAGAGGCCCTACAAGGCTCCTGGAGAGGCCCTACAAGGCTGCTGGAGAGGCCCTACAAGGCTTCTGGAGAGGCCCTACAAGGCTCCTGGAGAGGCCCTACAAGGCTGCTGGAGAGGCCCTACAAGGCTTCTGGAGAGGCCCTATAAAGCTGCTCGAGACACATCCTGAAGACTCCTGAAGGCTGGAGACACTCCACAGGGCCTCGTTCTAATCAGGGAGCGGCAAGGTGGCAGCTTGAGAGAGAAGTCAAATTGTTGGACCTTCTCCCCGGGAAAACTGGAGCATGTGCAGAGAGAATGACAATGCAGAAGACTTTGGATGGGTTGGAAGAACCTTGGCAGAGGGAACTGGCAGGAACCCCAATACTTACTAAAATCATTTAGAAAGAAACGTTGAGTCACTTAACCATCGGGGTCCTGATTTATCATTACTCCTTGTAGGGTCAGAGTATGACTCAGTAATTGGTTGGGGTGCACACATGTTAAGACTTTGTAAAATAAAATGATAAAGGTCTTTACTATTCACTATATGATTTCTGTGTACACATGAAGTCACCATATACAGTATATATACTGTACAATCCGATGACTATGTTACAGCTTGGACTACTAAGAGTAAATAATATCAGAGGAAATGTTTTATTGCTTTGTAGGCCTGACGATGGGCCCCTCGGAACTAGACTTGTGCGCCGTCAAAAAATTTGTTCCGTTTTGTTCCGTTTCGGAATATCCGTTATTTCGCATTTCGTATCCGAAACTTAATTCTGATTCGTACGAAATACGGATTTTCGTTAGTTTCGGCACATTTTCGTAACTGTACGAACATTCGTTATGATGAAGTTAAAAAGCAAAAATACATTTGTTAATATTGGAGTCGATGTGGTCGTTGTTTTTTATCCGAAATACGAATTCTGTTAATGGATTCCGGATCCGAATCTCGTATTTCGGACTTAAAAAAAACTACCATCAACTCCAATATAAATGTACTTTGCTTTTTACCTTCAATATAACGAATGTTCGTAACGGAACGAAAATACGTCAACGGAATTTCGTATTTCCTGCCTGTGTATTGTAATGCAACTCTCAGCAGCAGCGGATCCGTATTTCGGATTAAAAAAAAAATCTTGTCATATTGTTCAACCTCATTTACAGGGGTAATATCAGTTCCCGTTTCAAAGAAATTCGGATCCGAAATTTGTTAATGGAATTTCAGATTTAATTCGGAAACTGCAATTCGAATTTCGGATGCTTACGAATCTACGAATTTCAGGAAAATTCGTACGAATTTCGATTCGTAACGAAACGAATCGCACATGTCTACTTGGAACCCCAAAACTCTTTGGGGGCTATTCACAAAGGATCCAGCAGTAGCTTCAGCTGATCCTTCGGCTCTCTTCAGCCACCGGAGCCCTTCGGTTCAGTTGAATCGAAGGGCTGCTGTACGGGCTATTCACAATAGCCCATATAGCAGCCGAGTGGCTCAGCTGAGGCGAAAGCATATGTGACAGCCAAAGCGGGGCGAACGGCGGGGCGAACGGCATGCCGAAGGCCGGCCTTTCGCCCCGCAAATGGAAAGCTGGGCGGAGCCAGCGGCATTGGGCTATTCACTCACTGCCGTTCGGCCCCTATGAGAATAGGGGTGAACGACAGCGAGTGAGCTGCCGGAGTCCTTCTGCACTTCGGCTCAGCCGGTGTACAGCTGCTTTCAGCTGACTTCACCTCGGCTGGGTTACTCACTTGGCTGCCATCGGCAGCTTTGTGAATAAACCTTTTTTGTTCCTACACGATTTGTATTTGCATGCGGAACATCCTAGGTAACGCCCGCATGTGATGCTGAACACCCTTGATTGAAAGTACTGAAATGCAATAAATAAAAGGGGAGGGGCCAGGCAGGCTGGGGAGAAAAGGACTACATGATGCTGATTATCCTTCAGCCAGGAAATGAGGCGGGTTCTATCTGACACGCTGCAGCTTCTAATGCACATTTTGTGAAGCTCACCGTGTGAAATGAAGTCAGAGGAAGAGGAGAGGAGCCGGTGCAACTGAATGCCAGAGGTCAGATTTAAAATCTGTCAGAAGTCCTAACCCTTTCTGATTCTATCAAAGGAATAAAAAAAAGTCTAGTGCCCCTCCCCCCTCATTTTATATTATGTTTTATATATTCTAATTCGAGCATTTCCAATCCGATTACAGCCGGGGGTTCTGTGACCATGATGTGTTACCTGCTCCGCCATCAGTGAACTTTCCCACGTACAGTCTGTAGCCATCGTTCTCAGGGTTCAGGGCGTTGCGGGAAAGGCTGAAGTTGCCGTAGTGGGCGTAGACTTCGTCCCCCATCGCGTTTTCCAGCTCCACCCTCAGTTCATACTCCATGTGCATCGTCAGCAGGTAAATGTTCTGTAACCCTGGTGCCGAAAAAAAAAACATTTCCGGGTGAGAGCCCAGAGGACGGTTCATGCTACGAGGATGATTCCTCCGTGAATGTCCCCCATGTGAACCTTTCACAGTAGACTTCACTGACTGACAATAACCATTGGTGGACATTCCCAACTGAGCGCACACAATTCTCTGTCTGCGCCTTTAATTGGCCGGTAAAAGTTAAGCCAAGCCAAAAACATTTTGTAAAACTTTGGATAAATCGCGGAAGATACAAAGAGATACAAAATGTCGGCACTCGAGAGGTGAAAGGATGCAATGCTCCTATATAAAAAGGTTAAATCCACAGTGCTCCCATAGACAGGATAGACAGGGATATCTACATCTAGGGATGGGATGAACGTACCTGGATTCGGTTCACAGGAGGTTCACCAAATTTCTCCAATGTGAACCCCATTAAAGGAGAACTATGGGGCTTTTCCCCATAGTTCTCCTTAGGGTAACGGGAGGACACAAACTAGCCCCTCCCCTGTCACCTGTATGTGTTCGCTCACCTCCCGATCTACTGAGCCGACCTGTGACAGTCTCATTGTCACAGGTCGGCTAGAACTATGAGGTGAGTGAAAAGCACTCCCCCTCCCCCCCCCTCATAGTTCTCCTTTAAAGTCAATTGGAGCCGTATTTTTAAAATAACTTTCAAGGCGAATAGACAAGGGATTGTCAAGTAAAGGGCATGGGGGGGGATGAGCTGGGCACTGCCACCGGGGGGACATGTATCAATGCAATAAATTATCATTTGGTGGGGATCATCTTTACTAATGCTTAGAGGGCAACATGAAAGACACAAAATTATTTTAAATCACATTCTTGGGGAAGGCCCTTACCCTGCCTGTGAAGTGGGGCACCTACATGAGGTATAAAAAGCCTACAGGATTTCATTCATCTATAGCAGACATTTATGAATGGGCCTTGATTCCATGCATAAATACTACAGACCCCATAAAAAAAAAAGCGGTGTGGGGTCCCGCCAAAATCAATCCCTTATCTTTGATGAGGGTCTGGTAATTTTTTAGTGGGTACCTCACACAAAAAGTGAAAAAATTGTGGAGCCCCTAACATCCATTCCATACCCTTATCTGAGTATGCAGCTGACCAGGAAAGGGGGTTAAAGGCAGTAAGCATACCCCCCGCACCCCTGAACCATACTAGGACATATGCCATCAACATGGGGAGGGTGCCTTACGGGGGCTAGTCCAAATAATGTCCTTCAATCACAGCATCACCCTTATTCTGTGTATTAGATGGGAGCAAGCGGATGGTCCCCACATAGTTAGATGTGGGGTTCGGAGGGGCCACTCCACTAAGTGGGCAGGACTGGTTTGTCACTGGGCGGGCCCGAGGCAGATTGTGAGTGGGGTAACTGTGTCCCAAAGTACTTACTGCTGGTTGGTATATCTTTGCTAAGTGAACAGCCTAAACTCAAGCCCAATGTGTGTGGCTTGACCTGACATAGACCCAGCTCCTCCTACCCTGTACTGGTCCCAGATTGGGAAATGGTTACCCGGGTTATATTTCAGGAATGACACAGGAGAGATGGAGCAGATACTAGATAAAAAATGTGTTTACCCAACCAGTACTCCCCATTGGCGTTCCCGAATCCATTCACATAGTCGTGCCATGACTTCTGGAAGTCCACCGAGCCATCTAGACGGTTCTGGAACACCTGCCAAGGTAAACCACCTCTGTATTAAATCCGATCTATATTCTAAACAGACACAAACTCATCCTCACTATTCTGCATCCTTAATTCACAAATACCTAACAAAGTGTTGATGTCCTTGTCCTTCCTCTGGTCATGTGACCAAAGACCAGAGCTCAGGTCCCATCATCTCAGGCAGGGTCAGAGTTCAGGCAGAGCTGTTGATTAGCTGGGTTTGTGTTAACGCCAGTCCCTTAAACCCCAAAGCCCTTACCCCCAGCAGAGATCATGTGACCAGTGCCTTGGAGTTTTGAAATGGTCGATAGCTGATGTTTGTCTGAAGCTTATAAATCTATCCAACTGGCCAATACAGTATATCAATGGCATCAATTTCCCGTAATCATTTTTTTTTTTGCAGTACAATTCTGCATGTCATAGCCCTCTCCTCACTTGAGAGTGTTTAATTGCTGCCTATGCTGTTCCAGCTCCTCTAGTCCTCCGTTCACCTCCCATAAGTTTTCATGTAGCGGTTTGGGGAGCTTGAATGGCAGCTCTGAATCTGCTGGGGTTGTTGACATCACATCCAAGATGGCGGCACCCAGCAGCAGTCTCATGACTTTTGGATATCTACACAAGGGAGGGTTTTCCAGCTAAATAATATTAATACAATATATTAAACCCTATAGGAAGGCTTTTGGTGAAATTAATGGCCTGGAGACAGGATCTCTTTAAGTCTTATGACATAACAGTGCAAATGATTTGATGAATTATGACGTCTACAGTATAAATATATTTCTCCATCTTTTCCTCTCACCGTCCAGATCTTCTCATTAGTGGTCATGTCACAGTAGACAGGCAGGGGGCGCTGTGCTCCTTGTGGATAAATTATATAAACCCCATCATCATGCTGACCATTGTCCCAAATCTCCTGGCAGTCCAGCGGGAAATAGTCTGCTTCTGGTTTATGCTGAATAGCTGAGGATTGAAGGAGAACAGTAATCACCACCAATGGAATTATTGCAGAATCTAAATATATCAACTCAGAGTATTACTAGTTTACTAACTGACATATCAGTATGGATGTCACACCACTTCCTAAAACTCAAGTCTTTCCTCCTGTGCCCCTTCCCTCTCCCCCGACTTCTCCATCAAGATCAATAACATAACTGTCAGTCCCCCCTCTCATGCAAAAAGTGTTAGATGTAATACCGGACTCTGACCTCTCCTGTAAGCATCCAAAGGCTGCCCAAATCTTGTCTGCTTCACCTTGATAACATCTCCAAAATATGCCCCTTCTTAACCAATGACACCCCAAAGCTTCTAATTCACTCCCTTGGTATCTCTGACGTAGACTTCTGCAGCTCCCTCCTTGTTGGCCAACCTCTACACAGGCTATCCCCCCTTCAGTCTATCATCAATGCTGCTACCAGACTCATCCACCTTACCAACCTCTCAGTGTCTGTCAATCGTCTCTGCCAATCCCTCCACTAGCTTCCATCCCTTGCCCCTCTCTGCCAACCTCTCCACTGGCTTCCATCCCCGGCCCCTCTTTGCCAATTCCCCCACTGGCTTCCTACCTCCACCCCTTTCTACCAATCCCTCCACTGGCTTCCATCCCCGGCCCCTCTTTGCCAATTCCCCCACTGGCTTCCTACCTTCACCCCTTTCTACCAATCCCTCCACTGGCTTCCATCCCCTGCCCCTCTTTGCCAATTCCCCCACTGGCTTCCTACCTTCCCCCCTTTCTACCAATCCCTCCACTGGCTTCCATCCCCTGCCCCTCTTTTTTTCACCTCCCCCCCACTGGCCTCCATCCCCCACCCCTTTCTGCCAATCCTTCCACCGGCTTCCATCCCCTGCCTCTCTATGCCCCTCTCTGCCAATCCCTCCACTGGCTTCCACTCCTCGCACCTCCCTGCCAATCCCTCCACTGGCTTCCACTCCTCGCACCTCCCTGCCAATCCCTCTACTGGCTTCTGCGGGACCACCCTGACTGGATACAGTTTAAATGTGTCATTGATGTAGCTCATCGTATTACATAGTTATGGTAAATCCAAATGAGATCACGTAGAGATTGGACAATCATATTGTATTATGTGTGATCATCTTGAAGGAGATTGTGCAATCAGTGTGTAACTCATATGGTCAGCTTATATGAAATTCATATGGACATATGCATTATATCGACTGTTCCCGGCCATCCCCTATGAGTTATTTCCTTACTTAATACCAGACAATCATTATCATTCTGACGGTGTAATTTACCTGGCGATGGGTGGGCGGGGCTTCCACTGGCATGGTAGGTGTGCCACAAGAAGAAAATTATAAAGATCTAGAGAGTAACATTGATTGTTAAAGAACAACTGTCACATTTGTATCTATTGAATAATGACCTACTGTATGCTATATCCATGACATAATCATCACAGGTATATACAAGTATATAAACACATAGCTGGATGGTTGGTGGATCTTTTACTGTTCTGTGTAGATTAGTTTCAAATAAAGTATATGTAAACCCAAACAATGAACTGCTCTTATCTACTTCCTCTGTTAAATATACCATCATACCAATATATATATATCTCCTCTGATCAATGTTTATAGACAATGTTACTTTGTATCTCTCTATCTCTCCCTCTGATCAATGTTTATAGACAATGTTACTTTGTATCTCTCTATCTCCCTCTGATCAATGTTTATAAACAATGTTACTTTGTATCTCTCTATCTCTCCCTCTGATCAATGTTTATATACAATGTTACTTTGTATCTCTCTATCTGTCTTCCGATCAATGTTTATATACAATGCTACTTTGTATCTCTCTATCTCCCTCTGATCAATGTTTATAGACAATGTTACTTTGTATCTCTCTATCTGTCTTCCGATCAGTGTTTGGTACAGGTACAGCTAAATAGAATGTATATATTTTTGTTTACATCTTAGTAAGCATTCACACATAGCTATAGTGACCAGTGCTCTAAGAGGTGGTGAATGTGTCTCTTCTATACAGACTGGGACTTCTAATGTCAAACTTACAGAAGACCTCTGTGGTTACCCCCATAGTATGCACTTGGTGGGGAAGATCTTTAGGATGAAAGAGGGATGTCTTAGATCCTTATCTGGTAAGGATTAGGGAAGGAGCCCAGAACAATGCTCTCAGGCCCGGCGCTAGCGCAAGGCTCATAGCGCAAACATCGGGGCATTTTGACAAGTACAATACTTGTCAAAATGCCCTGTTTTTACAGGGGGTCGGGATCGGGGGGGGGGGCGCAAAATTGCACCTTGCCCACCTTGACTACAATCCGAGCTCTGTGCCTAGACACTGGTGAGTAGTATTGGTCACACACAGGGTCTATTTAATATTTCATTGTAACATTAATCCCTACACTGACATACAGATGTAATGTGTTTCTTTATCATTGAACTCCCGCATGTCTTTGTTTTCTATTCTTGGTGCCAGATTCCCCCAAGGTTACAGGTACATATGTATCAGGATAAGATGCTGGTCTGACTTACCTTCATGCTGGTCTGGTTGTCTCTAATCTACTCATCGGATGGTCCTGAATGCCCTCTGCTCTCTATATAAAGACATGGCAGCGGTGGGGGGGGGGACTGGAAAAGTTTGGGGAAAACCACTTGTGGGCTATGAAGTCGCTCATACTGGGAAGTCTTACAAACATCCCATTGATGCAAAACTTAACAACAAGAAACAATCAAGTCTCACAAAGATACATTTACATCACTTCAAGTGGAAGTATAACC